ATGTAGTCTAAATGTGAGGCCATGGTTCGCTATGTATTGTTATTGATTAAATTGTAGTCCAAGAACGTATATTTCTAATCTGCATATTTTGGGGTAACAGTGACTTACAAATTATTTTGAAATTTGAGACCTTGCGCGTCTGAAAGTTCAGAGTTGTGTCCAGTTTAGCAGATTTGTTCAGTGGCTGTGGAACATCTCTGGGTTGTGACGAAGGTCGTTGTAGTACAAAAGGCTGACTTAAACACCATTCAGCAACAGTGCATCCAGAGACTCCCTGCTTTAGATGAAATATTAACTGCTATTTACTGCAGCCAGAAATGGTGAGAAAAACTTACTAGATGTGCTTACAACAGTTGTCATCGAGAGTTTGGTGTGGTCTTCGCAGTGAGTTTTGCTGCCTTATCTTTCTGTTGGGTGAATAACTACAACCAAATTAACTATCATTTATGATTGATGTAGCATGATTTTTAGCGCTTAGCTCTAAAGATTCTGTCTGTCTTTAAAGGACAGAACAGAAGTATGAAGTGTTATTAATGAGGCTGCATTTCATTATGTTTAGTAGTTATAATTGTGAGATTGCTGATGACAGATGGTTTGAAAATAAGGTGGAACTAAAATTTTAGATGTTGGTTTATTAGCTATGTATATGAAAAGCTTAAGGAAACTGTATAAAGGCCTAGAGATAGAATATATAACTCCTAAAGTAGTAGTTAAACTCCTAAAGAGTTTACAAAGAAACGTATACAGTACAAAGAAGAAAGGTGAAAGGAAAAGCAAGGTGAATAGAATATTCAGAATTAATAATGTGGAAGCCAGCACATCAATACTAACTGTTAATGGAAGCAGAGTAGTACAAATTCTTAGATTAAAGTTTTAAAAGTTAGTTAAGTCATATGTTCATTTGCAAGAGACACACTTAAAATATAGTGACAGGTAATTTGGAAATACAATGAGGATGAGAATGGAGAAAAAAAATTAATGTAAATAAAATTTATGTGAGGTTTTCCAGAAACTCTGATAATCTTTGAAAATGCTATAATGAGTCTAGAAAAAGGTGAAGAGAATGCATCTGAGTCATTTGATATCATGTGCAATTTGTGACAAAAACTCGTACAACAAAATATGATTCGTTTTTGGTATAGGAGGCTTGCTTCAGAACTCAGGGGGAAAAGGTCTCTGAGGAAGAGCAGCCAAAGTAAACAGGACTTTCTAGAATCTTTTATAAAACTATAACCTAGAATCCCACTTTTATTTCACAAGTACAAACTACTTCTTTGCTCTAAAGTAATTTTTTTCTGAGAAAGAGCTGTTTAGCTTATAACATCAATGTGTTGCCCAGTGTTTAAGAACACTTGAACGTACTGGCTGCTGCTAGCAAGTTAGTCCTGTTTAGACAACATTAAGCTCGATATGATCACCTTGCACTGATACCAAGAATCAGTGTATGTGAGCTTGATAAGAGCAGCGCAACAAGTCAAAGTGAATGTTACATTTGAAAATTTTACCTCCACATAAAAGAAGCATGTCCCAAAGACTGCAGTTCATAGAACTATTGTTGGAATAGGAAACAGAAATAGTGTAACTATCCTACTATGTAATGAGACAGAAGCAAATATATCATTGTTATGTATTTTTTATTAATCATGGGTATTATTTTCTTAATTAGTCCTATATGAATTGTATGACTAACTCTTACAATTATATGCAATAATATACCCCCAAAATGTAATTATCCAATAACAAATTAAAATGATTTAAAAACATAATGACAGATTTTTTGCTTCTGGCCATGACAGTGTAACTGGTACTGGACTAGCCCTCTTGCCATAAACAGAAAACCGTACGAAATAGACAAAGCAACTGTTTGCAGATATTGGTCAGCAGGCGTCACAAGACTTTCATCTGTGAAAGTGACCACTCCTGTGCTTGTCTAGCTCTCTGCCTGGAAGTATTTTCTGGACTCAAAGAGGAGGAGCCCCGAAGTACAGCAGTCTCGCTGAACTCAGGATCCAGGAAAACGGAAGCCACTGAATTTGCAGGCAGGGAACCAAAAGAAGGAAACTGCCCACTAAGAAATCTGCCTTGGTATCCCCTTGCGTCTTTAGCTGACGGTCAAGGGGTGCATGCACAGGAGGAGACTCCATGATTCGAGCCAAGGACAACTCTCCAGAAGCTGTGAAGCCAGCCACTACCAGAGGTCTAACACAGCTGGGAGACTCGCATTCTGACAAAGTGGGAAGACCTTGTGAGCGCCCAGGGTATTCAGCGGAGACCCCGGAGAGGCCATGCCTCAGCAGTAGGGCTGTAGACCTGACCAACGAAGCTTGAAAACAAGCCTTGAATGGAACAAGCTGATTTACCAACAAATTATCTGCCTCAGAACTTCTAAAGGAAAAAAACAAAATCCAG